TCTACCTACATCAACATACTACAGCATATATAACTACACACCTACATCAACATTATATATATAACTACATCTACCTACATCAACATTACTACAGCATATACATATAACTACATCTACCTACATCAACATACATATATAACTACATCTACCTACATCAACATTACTACAGCAATATATAACTACATCTACCTACATCACATTACTACAGCATATATACTACAGCACATCATATATATATATACTACATATATACTACATACTACCCAACATTACTACAGCTATAAATATATAACTACATCTACCTACATCAACATTACTACAGCCACTACATCAACATTACTACACCAATACTACATTACAGCATATATAACTACATCTACCTACATCAACATTACTACAGCAATATATAACTACATCTACCTACATCAACATTACTACAGCAATATATAACTACATTTACCTACATCAACATTACTACAGCATATATAACTACATCTACCTACATCAACATTACTACAGCCATATATAACTACATATACATCTACCTACATCAACATTACTACAGCAATATATAACTACATCTACCTACATCAACATTACTACAGCATATATATAACTACATCTACCTACAGCATATATAACTATCTACATTACTATACACTGCATTTTACCTACATATTACTACAGCTACAGCCATATATAACTACATCTACCTACATCAACATTACTACATACATATATAACTACATCTACCTACATCAACATTACTACAGCAATATATAACTACATCTACCTACATCAACATTACTACAGCCATATATAATAACTACATCTACCTACATCAACATTACTACAGCATCAACATATATAACTACATCTACCTACATCAACATTACTACAGCCATATATAACTACATCTACCTACATCAACATTACTACAGCATATATATAACTACATCTACCTACATCAACATTACTACAGCCAATATATAACTACATCTACCTACATCAACATTACTACAGCCATATATAACTACATCTACCTACATCAACATTACTACAGCCATATATAACTACATCTACCTACATCAACATTACTACAGCCAATATATAACTACATCTACCTACATCACATTACATACCTACATCAACATTACTATAGCAATATATAACTAGCATCTACCTACATCAACATTACTACAGCAACTATCTAACTACATCAACATTACTACAGCAATATATAACTACATCAACATTACTACAGCCATATATAACTACATCTACCTACATCAACATTACTACAGCCATATATAACAACATCTACCTACATCAACATTACTACAGCAATAAATACTAAATCTACCACAGTTACTTCTACAGCAACTTATGTAACTAAGGTACTACAACAACAAACACTACAGCAAGTACCCTTACAACCGGAAACATGAGTGAGTGAGTGAGTGAGTTTAGTTTTACGCCGCACACAGCAAACTTCCAGCTATATGGCGGCGGTCTGTAAATAATCGAGTCTGGACCAGACAATCCAGTGATCAACAGTATGAGCATCGATCTGCGCAATTGGACACCGATGACATGTGTCAACCAAGTCAGCGAGCCTGACCACCCGATCCCGTTAGTCGCCTCTTACGACAAGCATGGGTTACTGAAGATCAATATTCTAACCCGGATCTTCACGGGTCACTGCAAACAGGACTTCTACTGTTGTACCATACAGAGTAGTTCTGCCTTTTGATCCCTCATATCATATTATTATCGTACTTATCACCGCTTTATTAAACATAAAAATAAAGTGCCTTGATCCTGTTGATAACAACTTTCACATCTGCGTCTTGTTATTGCGATCATTGTTACACATTGCTCTCGACACAAGGGCACTGCCAGGCATTCGGTGTGGTGCATCAGCTGACTGGGGAATTGAAGCCTGCGTTCTCATTGGCTGTGGTTGATAGGTTGTCTTCAACGTCGTCATTATTTCATGACTGATAGCAATCTCGCGTTCGGCTAATTCCGTAACAGAATTTTCTGTCTCTCACAAAACCAATATCGAGGGCTGTGTTGGATATTTAATTGGACGGGTGGTAGGGTTATGTAACACATGACATCCGGGCTTGCAGGTAGATGAGTCAGTCAAAATTATCACATAGCTGTAACAGAATGGGGGGACTCCAGTAATAACCGTTATGTTGTGCACGATCTGTACGGGATCGAATCCGTGTCTTCGCCGTGATTAGAGCACGCATTAATCACGAGGCCACCCTCCACCTCTGCAGTAATGTGAAAGCGAGTGATATTGATCACGCTGTGTGCAATCAAGTGTGAACATAAGTTATATATATGGGGCTGCTGTTATCTATAATGTGTTATCATCACATTACAAAATACTCTGTGATATGTTATAACGATTGATGGTCTGGGCTAATCAGATGAATATGACGACATATGATGTTAGTGACACAAGGCGTGAAATGGCCCCGAGCGTTAGATTGATACGGGGGCGGTGGGGTAGCGTAGTGGTTAAAGCGTTCGTTCGTCACGCCGAAGACCCGGGTTCGATTCCCCACATGGGTACAATATGTGAAGCCCATTTCTGGTGTCCCCCGCCGTGATATAGCTGGAATATTGCTAAAAGCGGCGTAAAACTAAACTCACTAGATTGATACGATTCTGATCATTTAGCAGCAACTTCCTTCTTCGATGTGAGCTAGCCATTCTGAAATAAGGATATGATATAAACTTTGAAGACACCTTAAAATTTATCGTTTCTCAACGATGTCCTTCTGTGGTTAGGAGTATTTATATTTACAGGTTTTCAGGCATAAGGCTGTTTCTATCATATGGTTGTTTGTTTGGTTTGTTGTTTAACGCCGCACTTAGCAATATTTCAGCTATATGGCGGCGGTCTGTAAATAGTCGAGTCTGGATTAGACAATCCAGTGATTAACATCATGCGCATCGATCCACGCAATTGGGATACAATGACATGTGTCAACCAAGTCAGCATCCTGACCGCCCGATCCCGTTAATCGCCTTTTACGACAATGCTAGTTTGCTGTTCAAGACCAATTCTAACCCGGATCTTCACGGGTCTCTATCACGTGTGAAGTGCAAGTAATTGTATTTCTTTTCTTTAAGTTTCAAAGTGAATATCATATTGCTTACGTTTAAAATGTTCACTTCAATTGTTTTTAACCCGTTTTAGTAAAGTTTGAACATATATATCTTATGGTTCCTTGTAAACATTCCCGAGTTACCTCTTCAAGTGGATATCGTTTTACACGATTAAACAATAAGGCCCATATCGAAGCCTTCCGGATGATATGATGAACATGACATTCCGATTGTGTCGAACTACGCACGTCTCGATGTTTGCTCGACTTCCTCCAGGAACGTCGAGTTGTAAGTATCACTGTGTTGTAACGGTACATATACAATGTACATGATGTAACGCATTGAAAAGCTAAAACTCATTTTGAGAGTAATCACCCATAAAAGCCACTTGTCAGGGTGGGATCCTAGTCTGTCATACAGACCCTGAAACAAACATATCCAAGAAAGCCCATGCAAGTCTAGATTATGTGGCAAGTCAGGGATCCTTTTCATTATATATATATTTTTTTTATTATAAGCTGTTTTTTTCTGTAAAATATGTTCATTTTATCTACTAGTTGTTAGTCTAGGCCGGTGGGATCCGTTGCTCAGGCGATAATAGAGTCACCGTTACACTGCAGACATTATCTGGATATATAGTTTAAGTCGTTAATGACTATGCGGTCATTATCATTAATATCGTCTACCATATGTACCCCTTGTCTCGAACTATGGGTAAATGGACAAAAAGACCACAAGGATTCTAGTAAGTGGATATCAATTAACCTCTTGTAAAATTACGGAAAGCATGGTCGTGAGGTGTGATGAAATGAGGTTAACACCGCGTTCAAGTTCATTGCACTCAAACGATGTACATTCGTGTGTGTTTGTGTGCGTTGTGTGCGTGCGCGCGCGCCTATGTGATGTGGGGTGATGGGAGCAGGACAAATGGTGTCTTTGTGGTAGCCGACTGACATACTATTCCGCATTTTAAAAGGATACCTCAAATACACTCAGTATCCTGACTTCGATCCTTGTTTAATTCTCTTAACATGAAGTTTGAACGTCTTTTAGAATGACATGGTCAGAGGGTCGACGAGGCATGGATTTGGACGTTGGCTCAGTACATGAACCAATCAGTCTGGAATAGCATGGCCTAATACTAAGTACGTACTTAACAGAGGAATGTGTAGGTAACCATATCGGAATACCGATGCACCATATGCGGTGGTAACTTAACAGTATGGGTTCAAGATGTACTAGTATGAACAGATTTTGTCATCCGATGCATGTACGACATCAACAGAAATATATTATTTCAAATATTTATATAATTACATTATATTTTCTGCATATGAAAATATTGTTTAATCTTAACAAATACAAACAACAAAGATTTACTTCAGAAAGAGAGCAAGAAAACCTTCATCTGTGTGGACTTGAAACACGTTGTCTGTCGAAAACATTGAGTTCCCGATCAATTTGGTAAATATATGTCGTGATGGGGTCGGCGGAAATTTAACAACGTGGGAGTGTTTGAATTGGGTTTGTGAGAAAAAATAACAGAAAATTAGAAGACATCCTGAATCTATAACCTCCCTTTACAGGAGTCGTTACATAAGCGTTACAATTCTCACCGATTAAACATTTTCAATACGTTCTAACTTAATGCTAACAATGTGCTCTGGGTGAAATTCTCACCGTTCTTATCTGTTGGTATTCGTTAATAACTTTCAGTTATCTATGACACGTACCCACTAAGTTACGAAAGAATATTTTCCCTGAGGATGAATCGCGCGTGAGTGATCTCTGCCGAATACAATTGTCTGAGTAATCCGGTTGCCGTCGCGAGCACAAGCGATGACGTCACGGAATTGAGAAAACCCCTGCGTTGCTCGAAATCTCGCCAGTTCCGATTTGTACAGGGCCCGTAGCACAACCCAGTACAACTACCGAACCCGGCGCTTTTCTCCTCACCGTGAAACTCCACACACCGACACAGACAATATGGTGAGTTCATATGTACTATCGTCTGCTTTTTATCGTCTGCTAGACAGTGCACGTGCACATAGTCTTGCCTTGTATTATCTCAGTTTCTTGTACTTCAAAACGTTCCGAACAGATTAAGAACGAAAGTTAATATGTTTGTTATCTTTTCGGAAAGTGTTCTATCTATATTTATTCATCCCGTATTTCTCGTTCAATTTTTATGTTTAAATTCATATGTTCTTGCCTCCATGTACTTGTCACAAAAACAAGGAATGGGTATTTCAGACGTGCTTGTACATTATGACAGTCTGATGTATGTGTTTCACATAAATATTGAATTTGTCTGTATAGCATGTGTATCGCTTCCATATACAGGAGTCACAGATTTTATCATGATGTTAAAAGTCTTAGAAACAACAGGTTAAACCAATTTGTAAAACAAGCAATCCTTTGAGTTGGAATGCTTCAAGGATTGCCTTTTGGCGTAGTTTTCCATAAATATTTGGAACAACCCCAAGATTTGCACAGGAGGAGATACATATCTCTAAGTGTATCGTCTTACTTCTGTAGCTTTTAAATCTGCCCACATCAATTGTATATAAGGTTCACATTCCATACTAGGATAACCAGCTAACACTACATAAACATCTCATCAGATGACGATGTTGCATGAAGACCCGACCCCCGGGGAAATTCCGCCACCCCCGAGGACAATACTCTGCCTCCCCTCCGCTGAGTTTTCCCTTCAGTGGACCTTCACCCAAGCCCTTGTGTCTATGTGGCCATGGCTGGCTAACCAGTGTATCGGGCCATCTGTTTGTGGGAGATATGTATGCTCCTCTGTTCTACACACTGGTCTCATCCTCAGCCGCCCGAGTGGGCCCCGAAACTGTTTATTGAAGTAAACGATAACAAACATTTCTTAGCATGTCAAACTTAAAACGAGACAAAAAATATTTGATTCGGTTTCGAAGCAAATCCGAAGTGTTTATTCAGACAGTTTGAAAACAGGCTTTGTTTCTAAGCAGGTCGCATATTTCCTTAGAAGAGTTAAAGATCCTTTAAATCGCAAACAGATTGCTAAATATAGCACTTCTGTTACACAGTAGCGAAATTCAGAGTGCTTATCAACCTAACACGATTAAAACGCCGGGGATGTTTGTGAATCAAGGGGCTTAATATGATTTCTGTATTCACGGTCAGTATGACCCAGGAGAAATACATTACCATATACTATTTTGAATGACAAGATGGATACATATCGAGCTTAATAAATCATTCATAGAATGATAACGATTTATAACGAGCTTTTTAAATTAGGTTTTCTTGTTAACTGGTACATTTTGTTAAATACGCGACCGTCTGGCACTCGATCTACTCATGCTAGCAGACAGAACCACAGTCTAGATTACCATGACGCACGTTTCAGACCTGGAATACAATTTTAGTGGCCAGAAATATCTGCTGTGACAGAGTGCTGATTCATATAGACGAGTCTGAGGTAAACCTCATTACTGGTTGTCTGATGTCACCGCCGCTATAACTCGTATCAGGCTTTCCCCTGTGCATCTGCATTGTTATCAATGCGAGGGAGTGCTTGTGCGTGATATCATCCGTGGGTCACGATGTGGTCTCGTTCCACGGCATTGTGGGATTGGTGAATGATGTCTACAGCAGCAGGCTCAGGGTAAAAACGCAAGTTAGCGCCGTATCCAGAAGTACACCTCATACCTTGAACCTCAGCAGAACCATCTAACCGATGCAATTATGAACTGCCCGGTTTAACTGGTTTCCGGAATAACGGGCAATGAAATTTTCAAAACTTCAGCCGCCAAGCAGACAGTATTTGGTAGTGAAGGTGCTTGAACTATCGAGGGTAAAGTGCACACTGTGTATAATTTCAACAGGATATGAGAACCATCGTGTTTCCAATGTGTTTACCTTTTTATATGCAAAAACGACTTACTTATATGGTTTGAGTTCTTTTGAGTTATCAATGGATGTTTTAAAATCTGAAAAGTGCACAGGGCTCTGAAATCTCAAGTAATTTACAAGGAACGCTTCGACATACTGTGATTTTTGTTAACGGGTAAATGTTTAGGTTATCTGTACAGGATTATCGAACCTCATCATAAACAAGATGGGTGTAGAGTTGAGGTATTTTACATGAATTGTTTGGAACTGGAAGCCTGCCTTCAACATTTATCGCCTCCGTTATGAGTTGTGTTTGTCCGATAAGGATAAACAACTGACCGTCAATTCCATGAGGATCACAAACATTGTCTTTCATGCTAAGCATCAGACGTGAAGAAAACAATGGCTAGAATAATCGCGAATATGCCCTTGACCGATATGCTGGCTGGATGAATGTTGCGAAGGTTCGAGGACGAGCAGGCGATCGATAAAGCAAGCAGACGACATTACGTAATTGGAGTAGCGCAGCAGCTTCTTAAGAGAGCCTTAAAAATCAATCTACTGTTTTGACTAGCTTCATCTTAATGTTCAGGGCTGTAGTTTTGACATGACACAATCCTGACGGTATCCTCGAATTTCGAGATATCTGCTCGGATGGGTTTAGAATTGCAATACAATTCGCCATTTTATCTAAGCGTATAGCTACGCCTATGCACTGTGGATCTTTTCGCGATAAAAACCAAAACATGTATGTCGGCTATGGGCTCTTGTTCTAACATATTATTTCACGGGCGAATCGTGAACAATGTCTTCGTATTTGCCAGTCTTTGAAGTAGACTTCAGTTCTGAAACAGTTTGTGCCTTGATGTGTCGAGGACTGTTTCAGGTAGGGTATGTTATACTGATGTACTCATGCAAAGTTTCCGGATCATTTATAACCCTTCGATATGAATTTCTTACAATACATTTGGTACGTAAATTCTATTAGGTTTGCAATGATAAATCTCTTTTCAAAAGTGCATATTGTTATCATTTCTTATTGCACAGATTTCTTCTAAAGTAGTATATTAGCATTATCTCTTCTAAAAACATTACAATGAAAACAAAGTTTAATTTTGACATATTTGAGCCAATGCAGAATTGGTACCTCATAATGCATTGTCCTTGACTGGATATTAATGCTAAAATATTTCAGGCTTCATATTAAAAAAAGGAAACGTAATGGAGACACTCTCGCTTTCTCTTAATTATCTTACTCATGGACTGAACATTAACAGTTTTAATATGAACCCTTTACTTACGTACGTATACGTAACTCTGATCTTAGCCCAAGACATTTGCCGTTCGACTTGTTCATAGTCTATAGTCTTTAAGATAGCTGGGTATAAAAGAACACATGTTTATAACAGGCTTATACTGGTTACGGGATGCCTAATTCCTGACATCATCCATTTCTTTTAGCCTTTGATCAAAAGAAATACTTTTACAATGCTGATGTGATATAGAACCTACATATGTGGGGAATCGAACCTGGGTCTTCGGTGTAACGAGCGAACTCTTTAATCACTAGGCTACCTACCCCACGTCCCAGCTGTACTAAGAAATTGATCGAGGGGATAATCTGAAACAGTGATTTTGGTGTTACATCGCTGAACCCACATTTTCTAACCTCCTCGATTGTAGGGCTTCGTCTATGAATGGAGCCAGATTTACAAACACTGGACATAATGGGGAACTGTTACGAATAGTATGTTGATTGAGAAGTAACGTGTCATCCCTCTGCCAGACTGGAGTGCGGGGTCTGGAATCTGGACCGCAGCCAACGACTGGGCATGCGTGGAATTGCAGTGGTGTGAAGAGGTGTATGACGGGAAAGCAGAGCAATAACGGAAATACATTAGTTCGATTCAGTTCATTTCTGATTCATACAAGTAAAAAATATCCCTGGCAGTTAATCAATGCAGTCTAGGTTCTCGGGTGGGTCATTTGTGAGTGTTTTGTTAAATAGAAACTTGAAAGGGAAAGTGCACGGAGAGAACTTTGACAAAAATGCAGCATTTGGGGCCATTTTAAATGGCATACGCCAGATGAGAGTCCTTGATTAAGGTAGACATGGATACAGAACACATCCATTCACCCAACTCACTAATAACTGAGTATAATTTTCACTGTCTCATTATGGTATGTTATCTCACATGAATAAATTGCTTCTTTAAAAATGATAAGTATTTGAGAGGAATATAGCTTACACAGTCACACAGGAAGCTTTTTATGGATATTTCACTTCGTATTTGCCATATGGATTATCACTGACATTATACTAAGATGGAAAAGATATTTGTATGGAAACCTAATTGTTGTTGATCATGTCAGTTATGATAATGTTTGCTTCACAAAGTCTGAATTGAAACTTGCTGACTTTTAAGTCCTGGTCCAGGTTCAATTCCATATTCTGGCATAATGGATCATAACGACGTAACCGGATTTATTCAAGAATGTATAGTATACAATTTGAGAGACAACGCCTTTGCTTACTACTGTTTATACCTGAGCAAGAGCCAACTAACTCCATGGAAATGTAATCGGAAAATCTCTGAGCAGAGAGTAAGGGGAGCGATTGACCTCTGATGCAACTGTTGAATGTTCTGACCAATAAGCTTTGACATCAGCAATGTGCAGCCACGTGCCAGGCGTTCTCAAAGGAGAATGGTTTCCAGGTTGACGGAGGCACGTGGCCAGGTCAGGCTGCTTCGTACTAGACTAAGGCTTAGTCTCTGAGTATATATAATTTGGATGTGACAAGCTGCCCATTTATATTGAAAATGGTGCCAGGGATTCAGAACCTGAGGAAATCTAGACTTGCTTTATTTAGGGCCTGCACTGCATGCTAGGCAGTAGGGAAAATAATGTTGTTCAGGGACTGTGATAAGGTGCTTCCGTACATGTAATGGGCCTTCGGTGTGATAGCTGCCTTATATAATTTTCATCCTTTTGTCCTTCATTGTAGAAGTGAAAGCCTTATAATCTTTTATTATATAAATATAGCATCTTAGAATTTGAGCATCTTAGAATTTGTAAATTAATGAGATGTTACTTCAATATTCTTC